CCAACCATCACATCTGCAATCAAAGAAGAAAGAAGGAGGAAAGGTGGTACCAGCTGTGCATGTCTCCTGTTAACAGGAAAGCAAAAGCTTTTCCAGAAAATACTCCCTCACCTCCAGCAGATTCCCGCATAGATCCCTACACAGATTCCCACAGTAGATTCCTCATTTCTTAAGATAGCTGACGCACACAGCTTTCCCTATCTACAAGAAAATTGAGAGATCTGCCATGACAAACTTGAGTCCTGAGTCTGGGCACATTACTGCATGGGATTAAGTTCAAGGAAGAAATGGGAATTGGATATTGGTTAGACAAAGATGAGATCTACCTCAGTGCTTCCCCTGTGCAGTGAATGCAACTCGTCCTGCCCCAGAGGGTTGGCACTCTGGCCAGTGAGGGATGGGACAGTTGTTAGGTCCAGCTGAAGGCAGGATTGGGAGGGGAGTAACGGGAAGGTGGTCGAGGCCAGAGCTTTGGGTCCTTGGACTCCAGGCCTGAGTTTACTCTGTACTCAAAGGGGAGCTCTTAGCAGAGTTTCCAGCAGGTGTGTGACAGGTAGAGATGCACACAAGGAGATGGAGACACAGCCTTGGTCAGCCGAAGGGTGGACAGGGGAGGACCACGGCACCAGTTTGGGAGGGAGCAGGGGCTGCCCAGACTCCCACACCCTCTTTAGGCCTCTGCACACCCCCAGAAACATGAAGTGAGCAACCCAGGCTGCTTTGATCCATTGCTTGGTTCACGAGAGGGAGGAATGGCCCTGTGGCAGGCCATAAGAGGGTGGCTCACGGTGGATGGGCCATGGGGCCACCCACCCCTAAGCCTCTTCCCCATGCCCTGTGGTCCTCACCATGGCCTCTCATTTGTTGCTGGTCCTCTTGCCCAGCAACCCTCAGGCACCTCTCACAGTGTTCTGGTTTCATCCCTCAAAGATGTTGGGTAGGAGCTCCCCAGGACCCTGCTCCCATCCCCTCCCCAGGACCCTGCTCCCATAGCAGAATAGACAGGGAAACTCAGAGGGGAAGACCTCCGGCTAGACACTTCTCAAATGGCTACTAACTGGCTGTGAGGGGCTTGGAGAAGAACAGAGTAAAGCTGTCTCCCCATTTCAAGCCTGAGTGACCCATCCTGCAGGCCATGGCAGTCCAGGGGACTTGGAAAGCAGTGGTGTCCCACTGCGGATGTCAGACTTTGTCTCAGATCAGCCAGACAGTGGGTAGATGAGCCCCTCATACAGCACTCTTCCTGTCCCTCTGCCCTTTGCCCATTTCAGCAAATGTGTCCTATACCCTCTAACCACAGGGCCTTTGCACAGGCTGTCAGTCTGCCTAGAATGCTCCTCCCCATACTGTTTTTCAAGTTAACTCCCATTCTTCCTTTGGACCCTTACCTAAATATCACTTTCCTAAGGATGCCTTTCCTGGCCCTTTGCCTGGTCAGTTCTCTCCATGTTTTCCCTCATAGAAACTGTGATTCTATATTTGGATAAGGCAAGCTACTGAGTCAAATGGAGATTTCAATGAGCAAGCACAATAGAGGTTTATTTTCCCCAAATGTAGAGCTCAATCTGGGCTGGGTAGCCCTCCTTCAACTTGTAGCTACACCATCTACATGGTGTCCAAGTTATCAAAATAGAACAAAAAGAGTTGAAAGAAGACCAGCTCTTAAAGTCTTTCCCTGGAGGTAATGCACATCATGTCCCTTGTGGTCCAGGGCCATAATTAATCACTTGACTCCAACCTAAACTGCAAGGGGAAGGGGTGGGAAATACAGGGGAGCAGACCAAATTGGGGAGCTTCATCTCAGCTGCAGCTCATCCTGTGAACCTTTTATCACAGTTGTCATTTTATAGTAATTTACAAGCTTCTTTGATGACAAGGGTCTCTCTCATTAGGCTGTGAACCCCGTGAGGGCAGGAACTGTGTGTGCTGGCTTATCACCCATCTTCAGAGTACTGCATTGTCAGAGCTCACTAAACATTAAATCACTGAATACATGAACAAGTAAATGGGCAGGGGGCTCAGAAGTCGACAGTTCACCTCGGGAGACATCAACTCAGAGAGAAACAAAACTTTGAAGTCTAAGGGTGATGTTGAGTTTGGGATCAGAGGGGCAGCTCATTTTGACAGAGAAAGGCGAGAAGATCTGATAAGGAGAGGCGTGGGTAGACTTCCCCAACAGCTTCTATCTCCCTAAATCAGCCTTTATTAATCCACTTGCAAGTGCTATGCCTCGTCCCCACCCCTCACCCCCCTACCCTGGCCTCTGCTGCCTTGGGGTAAGAAGTTGAGAAGCCAGGAGCTGCAGGAGAAGGGGAAGCTTGCATAGCCATCACCAACACCCACTTCTTCCTCTCCCACCCTCCCACCGCCAAAAATAATGTAGCAACAGCAGAATGGGCAGTCTCTATAATTAGGCACTGGGAAAAGGCGACACAGTCTCTAAATGGCTGTTGCTTGAGCTCTGTTAGTAGTCTGAGCAACTGAAAGAGGAGGCCTTTTTTTCCAAGACAGACAGGTTAGGGACCGGTTTCTGAGAACAGGCAGGCAA